ACTGGGTCAAGGTAGATTGCGTTTTCATAGGATGGAATCATTTCATGGGATTAGCTGCCAAGAAACCTGCTCCCCAGACCTGAATTGTGAAAATAGTCCCCCTTCTCAGACTGAAGTGGACAAGAGCCTCAGCTACTCGGGGCTGACAGGATTCTTGTGACCCCTTCTGATATACTAGGGGAAAGCTAGTATGTTCCCCTACATCCATAGGGCCCCCCAGGATGGACCCGCAGGTAAGGGCCATTTCTTAGCCTTCCTTTCCCATCGTCCCCTTCTTCCCCCAACTGATAGGCCAATACCAGTGTAGCAGGTGACTAACCAACCCAGGCCTTTTGGTCCTTCACATGGACGTGTGGTGTTGTCAGTTGTTCCTAACAGCTCAACATCTGTTTTTGGAAAGAGGCGTTTCCTCTCTGCGATGTGCAGAATGCAGGGCTTCCCCGGTGGCTCCGTGCCCTAGACTTTTGTGTCTGTACAGTCAACCAGGGTGACTTTCCACAAGGGCTCTTGTTGGGCCTAATCTTCTAAAGGGTCAGTGGTGAGCATGAGTCTCTTCTACCTATTGAGACGCCCTGCTCTGGCCAAGCAGCCTAAATTCATCTGGAAATCGAATCTTGAAATTTACCTCATTTCCCACGGTGAAGGGAGCAGCCTCAGAGCTGAGAAACTGGCGGCTCAAGGGCTCCACCATGAGGAAATCAGGAAAAGAGACCTCCTGCGAAAGCATTTCCATGAACAGGTTCCACTTCAAGAGACCAAAGAGATGAGGAACAGGGCGCAGCCAGGTCAAGTTCTTGGCAGTCACCCCCCGACCCTCACTCCACACACCCCATCCCATCTTTTTTTGCTTCACCAGACCCAGAGAAGACAGAGGCCCCAGCCTCTTGTGGCTTTCTCCAGCTCCAAACAGGACATGTGGAGGCTGGCAACTTAACTGTCTATTCACAGCACCTGGAAAGCTGCTGAAACTGTTCTTCCCACTTGGGGTCTTATTAGCTTTACTAACTTCTCCTGTCGGCTCTGCCCAACAAGTCCCCCACTGCTTACCACAGAGCTGGCTGCCAGTTGCTAGCAGAATAAGGCAGTGTCTGGTGCTCTCCCCCAGGGCTCCCTGGAGCCCCGAGACCAGCTCCAGTAACATCACTCCAGGCCACACAGTCCAGTGAAGAGGGTTGGCACCTGCTGCCCCTGAGACCTGGGGCCCTGTGCCCATTAGAGCTGCAATAGTGCATTGATGGTGAAGGCAGGGGCTTTGGTATTGAGCAGAACTGGAACCGAGTTCTGTCTGTATCACTCAGTGAGGACTAGAAAGAGTGACACATCTCTGAGTGTCATCTCAGAGGAAGAAGAACTACTTCTTTACTTTGTTTCCCCCACAGTACTGCTTTTAAAGTACCCATAGGATTTGGTGGCTTGTCTCTCCAATTTCTGCAGTGTTCAGATAGTTTCTGAGGTCTTCATTGACACAGGAGTTGTTCAGAGACACTTTATTTTCACTTGTTTCAGGATTCCTTTTCTGGTTAATTTCTGGCTTTGTAGGATTGCACCCTGTGAAGATGCTTGACCTAATTTCTATTTTCATATATCTTATTTTCAAAGACATTCTATGTCCCAGTGTATGAATTTTATGTATTGAAATAGGAAAACCCTAATATGAAAAATATATCTTTTTTTTTTTTAAGATTTATTCATACAGAGCTGCGGTACAAGCGGTGAGAGGCTTCACCAGAGAGAGAGAGTGGGGAGCAGAACAGGCAGGCTGACAAAGTACACTGCTGAGGGGAGCAGCGGGCGGGTCAGGAGAGGTCTGCTGCGCCATGTGGTCACCTCCAGGGCGGGGCATCCAACTGGCACTGAAGCGGTTGTGGCCAGCTTGCACTGCGTCCTAACCCGTTGCGCCACCAGGGAGGGCCCAAAATGCATCTACTCTATCTGCATAGATGCAATGTTCTCAATTGCCAAGTAATAGGACTGGTCCAAGACCCTTCAACAGATGGACAGAGAAATTGTGAAGCTATGAAATGGTGGAATTTGAACAAAATGGATGGACCTCAAGGTGATTATGTTGCATGAAATCAGTCAAATTGTAAGACAGATAGCAGATGGTTTCATTCATCTGTGGAATATAATTCCACAAAAAAATTCATATGCAAAGAACAGGAGAAATAAGTCTTGAAAAAGTAAAGTATATAATGATAATGGGGAGAAGGCAGAGGGCATGGGAAGTGTGAGCACAGGTAATTTGTTTTTTTTTTTTTTGTAAAATATGTGACTCACATGATCTGTAAATGACAGTTTCTAGCTACCAGTTTTTTTTTTTTGTGATGATATAGACTTCATGACCCAACTAGTTTGACCTATCATTCATTTACTGAAGAAATACTTATCATTACTCTGTGCACCTGAAGAGTCCAAACATAAAGAACACTGTCCTCACCTTAAAGTGATTAAAATTTTAATGTATCATTTGCCAAATATAGATTATAGAGAAAAGGACACAAAGACCCTCCCAGTGGATAGGTAGCAGTAGCAGAGGGCAGAGTCAGGTGTGGGGGATGTGAATATCCAAAATGATGAAAATTTTTTGTCAAAATTTTTGCCCCATTGACATAGCTAATAAAGCTGAATTCCTAGAGTGGAATAGTTGGTAAATTGTATGGCACACAGGAGATATGTTTGGAAGACATTTTTACAAGCCTATTTTCTCAAAGATATAATGGCTGATTATACTGGAAGTTGTCTTTAGTGAGTTAAGACACTAAGAAAACTGTGTAAAGAACAATGCAAGTCCTTGGAGATTCCAGACTCTAAGCCTGAAGACAGAAACCAACAGGTGGCAGGAATTAGAGACAGGTGTTGGCTTGTGTTCTAGAATTTAAACAAGTTAAAACAAGTGTCTATTTGAAACCATTTTATTACTGTGAATTTGGGACTTTTTTTTTTTTTTTGAGAACTCCAAACTGGACAGTTCACAACATTTTAGACAGTTGAGACATGCTTTAATATTTCCAAAATTTGTCATATGCAACCACTATCAGGATATGACATTCCAAGTTCCACCTGTATTTTACCTAATACTTTGAAATTACTTTTTACTTAAATATTTTTCAAAGATTTATTTCCAATATGAGTAGTAAACAAGATCATTTGCTCTTGCAGTTCTGATATCTTCAAACATTATTTTACTGCAGCAAAATCTTAGCAGTGAAACCCTCTCTTCCAACTTCATTAAGTGGTGCTCAAACACAATTGCCAGTATGCCATGCTGTAGGTCTTCAAGATGAACAAATGAAACTCAAACATGTATCTGCCAATGAAGAGTGCTAGGAAGAGTATGTTACTAGCAGCAGAAATAGAAATTTGAATGAAAAGAAAGGATTTAAAGGCATGACATCTGGCTGGAGTCCTATCTCTACTTGGCACTAGTTGTATGGCCGTGGGTAAGTATGGTAATCTGAGTCTCAGATTCCTTAATATTATGTTACAGCAATTCCTCATAAAATTAGTGAACCACTGAAGTGACTGGAATGATATGAGGGCAAAAATATACTATAAACCCTATAAAGTATGTACCAATGTTTATTACTTTACTGGAAATAAAATAAAATTTTCAAGATTTAGTGAAGCATATTATTTTTACTATTGTAAGTTAAAAACTATCATTCATGATAACAGGATGTCAAAAACAAACCCCTGGAGGACTCCTATAAAATATAAAGAAACCTCTCCAAGAAGCAACAAGACTCCAAAAACAGAAGAAATAAGAAGAAAAAACTGGGAACTGGAGTAAAGAGTTCAAGATTAATTTCTTTTCAATTTAAGAGATAGGTTATAAGTATAGAATCCTATGCATAAGTCACATGGTTACCACAGAACAAAAATACCTAGGAGAAGTAAAGAAGAAGATAAAAACAGAATCCAAATACTGCATAAAGGTAACTTACAGATTCCAGGGAAGAAAAAGAGAACAAACCAGAAAACAAATAGCAAAATGGTAATACTTAGATATCAATAATTTCTTTTAATGGCAATGGCCTGAAATCATCAATTGAAAGGCACAGAGTGAATGGCTGGATCAGAGGATAAAACTAAATTCTTCACTGTCACCGGGAGACCCATCTAAATCCCAAAGATAAATACAGACTGAAAATATTGAGTGTACATATTTTGTGGTTTCAGATCTTACATTCATGTCTTTTATCCATTTTGACTTAATTTTTGTATATGCTGTGAGATAATGGGTTTCATTCTTTTGCAAGTGGCTCTCCACTTTTCCCAGCACCATTTATTGAAGAGCACTTTCATTCTCCAATGTATACTCCAGGCTCCTCTGGCACAGATTAAGAATACATAGATGCATGGGTTTACTTCTCGGCTCTCAATTCTACTCCATTGGCTTGTATGTTGTTTTTGTTCCAGTACCATACTGCTTTAATTATTGTGGCTTTCTAATATTGTTTGAACTCTGGAAGTATGATTCCACCACTCTTCCTCTTTTTTGTCAGTCTTCCTTTGGCTTTTTGGGGTCTTTGGGGTCTCTTCTGATTTATATGAACTTCAGTAATGTTTGTATTACTGCTTTGAAGAATGTCATTGTAGCTTTCATATGGATTGCATTGAATCTGTATTGCTTTGGATAAAGAATCATTTTAACTGTTAATTCTTCTAATCCATAAGCAAGGAATATCAGAACATATATACATTTCTTGGTTAGGGATGGCTATATTTATAAACAAATACTCTCACTAAAAATGAACATACACCAAAAAATGCAACTATAATTAAATTTATTTAAACATAGTGAACATTAAAAAGAATAAAAAAACATTGCTTTGTATGAAATCCAAATTCTATATATGCAAGATTCGAGTGATTGACCACAATGTTATTTTTGCAGGAGGCATGTTAATTTTTACCTTCTTACATATAAATAAACAAGTTTTATATATACATAGTAGAAACTAAATAACTTTGATACATGACCAGACATTTGAAAAAAATCAAAACATATCTGTAAAAGAGTCAAATGTGTAAGAATACTGTGAACTTAGAAAAAGACTTGCTATATTTTTATCTAAACAAAAAAATAATTATTCTCCAGTCTTCCATTGTATTTTCTTTTAAATTTGAAGGCTTAAATCCTTTCTGTCTATATCCTTAGGATTATTAAGTTTTTCCTTCAAAACTATAGCTGCTTAGAAAGGAGAAAACTATTTAAAACAAAAATATACAAATATCACTTCCATGCCACACATACAGATTCTGCCAGGGAAGAGTTCCTGAGCTGGTGACCAACCTACTCAACTTAATTTGAAAAAGTAATACCTGATTAGAGGACTAAACTGACTTTCACACAGCTTTCATGCATCAGTAGTTTTCTTTGTCACTGTAAATTAGTAACATTTGGCTCTTAGTTTAATCTATACCAAATGAAATTTTATAATTCTATGACAGTAAAGTTAGCATATTTAAATGTAAACCAAGTTTTTAAAGTATGCAAACTGCTATTTTCTCAATATCTCTTTTTTCATGAACAGAAAAAAATAAACCAGTGAAAAGAAGAAAAAAATGTAGATTTCCAAAATGAGTCAAAAATTTCATATATTAAGACATAACTAGGGTAAACTTATATTGTAAAATAATGTCTATTTTTATATAGAATCAGATAGCAAAATAACCCTGTCTGAAAGCACTGGATCAACCCAATTCCTTCCAAGCAATGATTCTACAAGATACAATAAACGCCTTTAATAAAGGCCATCTATAATAGAACTATAATATGCAATGATACAAATATATTTGTTTAAAAATTGGTAAACATAAAAAGTGCCTTTCTTTACCGCCAAGATAATAGTGTAAAAGATTCCACAACTTGATTTCAAAGAATTAAGAGCCAAAGTACCAACTGTAATAAATAAATATATAACCCAGAGGCCTGGGTAGGCATATAAAATATTGAAAATAAACCAGTGTATTAAATTCCAGTATTTTGACTGTAAATCTTCTTCATTATGATAGTTATGTCTATTACTATTATAAATTGCCTTCCAATGAAGGTCATTACCTATGAAAAAGATTCATGTTCAAAACAAAGGAAACATGCACCATAAAACTTCTTTCCTTTCATTCTGACATTATGGATATCATCAATATTAATTGTTAAGTTTTTGCACATCAGCAGATAAATACCTTTGAATATATTGCCTAAATATATTAACACTTTAAGGTTTATGATGATACCTTAATTAAAGGTTATGATACTTTAATGAAGAAATCAGCAAAATCAAATAAAGACAGATGGCAAAGTACTAAATATAAGAAATATAACTTCTAGGAAAGAGAAGAAAAGTTATACAGTGACTATAAGCAGACCTTGGCCAAGTTATTTAGCTTCTCTAAACTTCACTCTTTCCATCTGTAGGATTTCAGTATGAGTTGTTCTGTCAAGCACTTAAAGCTATTGTGAGAGCAAATAAGGTGATGTAAAAACCCTTGGCAAACTCTGAAGCATGGAACAGATAAATGGCATTACTGTAGGCCCCAAAATCTCAAGGTTTCTGATATTCTTTCCAATAAATAGCTGTTCTTTTTGCATCCACTTAGAACCCCCAGTTGTAATCAATTAGACAGCTGAGAGTGAAAAAAACATTTATGCAAAGAGAAAAATCTCTAAATTTTTGTTTCTAGGATTTTATAAAGTAGTTTGCTGTGAGTAAGGAACCACATTATTTTCTGGGTCTCAGGTTACCTCTTGACTCTTCCTAATAATAAAGAAGGGGCAGACTTCTCAGAGACCTCAGCTCCTGACCTTTCTTTAAACTCCTCTGCAGAGACTGACATCTCCCTCATGTTCTGTTATCATGCAGTGCACATAGTTCCATTAAAAGAACTCTATCTTAGAAGAGAATAAACACATTTTAAAAACATATGAAAGAAACACAACTGAGGTCGTTCACAGTTACATGATGCAGCTTGGCCCAAATCTAAAGTGGCTCAATAACCCTTACCAGACTCTCCCTTGCTTAGTCCAGTCTTTTGTTTGTGTAAAAATGGTTCCAAGCCAACCCTTTCCAAACTCCACTCTGAGAAATAATGGTCAGCAGAGGTATTAACTAGATAGAAATCAAACCTGCGTTAAGTAGGTCTGGCATATGCAGGGAGAAGTTAGTGTGCACACTGCGAAATTTCTCAGCCTATGATATACCAACTGTGCATATCAGAGGAACAGGGTATACAGTATTTTCCAGACTTATCTGATTTCTTCTCCCCCTCCCCCATAAAGTACCTAGAGGGGCTAATAACTATTTAAGTGTCCTGGGCTAGGTCTTGTAATGGCTACCCTGTTTAATTTCTGACAGATCAGAATCATCTTACCTACTAAGTCAGCTACCATGACAACTTCCTGGATTCCTCTCCATAAGCATTCTGCCCTAAGCAACTAAAAAACTAAATTTCTTTTATAGCATGCTGAAAATCCAAAGAGGCTGGACTGTGTTAATGAGAAATATATTTTTAAAGGAAATCTATATGTTCTTCCCCAAACATTCAGAAGAGAAAAATCTAGATCTTAGGACGTAGAGTCACAATTACTTGAGGAGATAGGAGCATTGTATCATATCACTGCAATTAGCACTATTAGTAAGTAGTGATATTAGTAGTGGTGGTGGTATTGGCTTAGTGCTTATTTAACACTTTAATCCTCATATACACTCTATGAACTTACTACCTACAATTACGCTCATTTTAAAGATAAGTACACTGAGCTTTAGAGAGACTGAAGTGTCAAGAAGTGTACAAAAGTAGAAAGGATAGCATATCAAATTTATATCTGGCCCTTCCTCCATGTTCTTAAACACTACATACTATCACATTTTAGTGACAAAAGCATTTAGATCAAACTTTGGTTGTTAAACAGAAAAATTAAAGTGTATTTAAACAAATCCAATTTGACTACAATTGGTTTGGGGTTTCCTTTTTAGCAAAATTTTGTTCCCTAAAGAAGATATTTGCAGGCTTAAAAAAAAGAGAGAAAGAAAAAATCACTTTACCAGCGAGAGGTTTACATATGAGGAGGGTTTTAAAAATCTGCATCCAAGGTGAAGACATTATCTGTGGTTTCTGCCATAACTGCAAAACGCTGATACTCTGATACTCGTTTCTCAAAGAAATTTGTTTTCCCTTCTAAAGAAATGTTTTCCATAAAATCAAAGGGATTTTCTGCCTGATAAACCTGAAAAGCAAAGAAATGTTGTTAGAGGCGCTGAAAAGCCAAATTATATGCCACAAAAAGACCAACTAATAATCCAGTCGAGAATGGCACATCCTCAAACAACTAGCAACAACAAATGTTGGCGAGGATGTGGAGAAAAAGGAACTCTCCTGCACTGTTGGTGGGAATGCAAACTAGTACAACCACTATGGAAAACTGCTGGGCAGTGCCGCTAAACATGGAGCTTTCGTATATATGACCCAGCAATCCCACTCTTAGGTATCCTTCCAAAAGGCACAAAAACACTGATTCAAAAAGATACCTGCACCCCATGTTTATTGCTGCTTTATTTATAATTGGAAAGACATGGAAACAGCCCAAATGCCCAAAAATGGATAACTGGATTAAAAAGATGTGGTACATATACACAATGGAATATTACTCAGCAACCAAAAAAAAAAAACATATGCCTTTTGCAGCAACATGGATGGAGCTGGAAAATATCATGCTTAGTGAAATAAGCCAGAAAGAAAAGGAAAAATACAGGATGGTTTCACTCATAGCAGGAGTGTAACAGACCAGGAAATAATGATAATAATGAACAGCTATATACCAGAGACATTTTATGGGAGTGGGGTGGGAAAATGGGATCAAAAACAGTTGGGGAGGGAAATGCACTGGGCTATGGTGATGGCACAGGGTGATTTGGTGATGGGAAGCCCACGGGGATTACAAGTGAGATGGAAAAAGGCACAAAATGATGTAAAAATAAACTTATTATTTTTTAAATTTTTTAAAAAGAGAAAGTAACATTAAAAAAGAAAAAAGAGGGCCCCACCTTGGTGGCGCAGCGGGTTAAAGCACAGCACTGAGAAGCCTAAGCCACTTCCACATGAGTTCAATTCCCGCCTGCCCTGGAAGTGACCACATGGCACGGCAGACCTCTCCTGACCCACCCCCTGCTTCCCTCAGCAGTGTACTTCATCGATCTGCCTGTTCTGCTTCCTGCTCTGTCTCTGGTGAATCCTCTCACCACCCCTGTGCCCCAGCTCTGTATGCATAAATAAATACATCTTTAAAAAAAAAAAAAACAGACCAGTGTGTTGCAAGTGCTTTCAGTTAAATATAATGTTATAGTGAGCTTATTTGACTAAAATATTTTAACCTGTAGCAATACATTTTAAACAGTTTACCTTTGAGAATCCAAGTTCTACAAGTAATCTGTCAGCTACAAACTCAATATACTGCTTCATCAAAACACAATTCATTCCAATAAGGCCAACTGGTAAGGCTTCTGTTAAAAACTCCTGAGGAATAAACAAAGGCAGATTAAGGACAAAGAACAATGAATATGCATTTTCCAACTAAGAAGAGATTCTAGTTTTACTAATCTTCTAAATCACTAAGCTCATCAAGAAAAGTACACTAGGACAAATTCTTTCAACATGACAATGTGCGTTTATTTTTAAATGGTTAGGGTATTACTACTCACATGATTTAATATTTATAATTAGTCAAACTGAAACTCTCAAATTACTGATTTGAGAAGCAGCACATATAAGACTTAAATTTATAAACTGTCTCAGCAGAAAAAGGAGGTGTCCTATTTGAAATTTATAGAAAAAAATTCTTCAACTGTGATTATTATGGGGAACATGTACATGGATGAGTTGGGAGAGAAAACATATTTTAAAAGGAAAATGAAAAACAAAAAGTAGTGGACCTATAGGTTAGAAGATAAATGGAACCTCAACTATATTTTAAAAAAGACAGTAACGTGTTAATAAAGGAAAAATAAAAACATTAACCATTTAGATTTAGCACACAAACAACTGAACATAGGTAAATGCATTTTATCCTTTTCTTCCTCCCAATAGAAAAATTATGCATATTATACTGTGCAGTATTAAAAGAAATTTTTTTATTTCCTAGTTTTTTCAAATGATAAAAACATATCCTTACTGGGAAATTGAGGTCTTTCTAGTCAGAGATCTCTACATGCAATACGCTGTTTTCTATTCACTAAGTCATTTATGCATTCATTCTATAAGCATTTGGTACAGACTTCAAATTAGACATCCTGCTAGATTTTAGAATACAAAATAAACAAATTATCATTGCCCTCCAGTGGTTAAAGTATAAAACTAAATAATTAAAATAATTGCTATGACTTGAAATCTAACAGACCAATGAGAGTAGAAAAAATAGTCCTGAAACAGTTAAGTGTACATGAAACCTTAATGTGTAATAAAGACCAGCATAAACCAAATTATATGCTGACACAACCATAATATATTACAAATTGGTGCTGTCAGATTGGCCATGTGAAATGGCTGATATTTATTTGTTTCAACTCACAAAATGGCAATTTCATGAGTCAGTCTAGTATAATAATGGCACAAACATCAAAGAAAGAGAAGTGCTAATTATAGAAGTTCCCCAGCTTACCTGCTCAATTTCAACAGCATTAACAATGATTTCCCTAACCCTTTCTTCCGAGGGTTTATTTAATAAATATTGAAATATCAGGCAAGCAAAGTCACAGTGAAGCCCCTGCAAGAGAAGAAAAGCATGAGAGTCAGAGAGCCTGTAGGCAGTCATTTCCATACAGTGATTCTGTTGGGCATTATATAAAGGTGGTTCTAGGAATGCAACATAAAACATCTGGAAGCTGGAAGAAGGATAAATAGGGCCAGATACTTCTTATCTTCAAATTTCCTTAAAAAGTCAATTATGACAACCTATAAAGAAATTTTCTAGTAACAGCAAATCTTAGATCATCAACTTGAAAGAGGAATTAACAGCAACAACAAAACCATTTTGAGAGAGAGACAACTTGCCAAAATGAAAATTCATTCATTTTTAGTATTTTAAAAACACGAATGCAAGAACAGATAGCCCTAGAAATCTCACTACAGAACTGCAGTTACCAGAAGGGGAGGTTGGGGATTTAGAGTAAATGTTGAGGGGCCCAAAGGACTGTGGTGGAAGAATATCAGAGCTTCAAGGGTGGGTGTGAGGCAGGAACAAATATCTAAAGAGCTCTGACCTTATATGCTGAACTCATATACAGTGCTGTAAACCAACTTTATTTCAGTTTTTAAAAAATGTTAAAGAAAGTAAAGGACATATAAAACTCAAAAATTTCAAAGACACTGTTTATATTAAATAAGAACATCTCAGCTTAATAATGAATTGGGGGGGACTCCCTGGTGGCACTGAGGTTAAAGAGAGCACTATCAAGCTATCGCCAACTACTGCAGCACAAGTTTGATCCCTAGCCAAGGTGCAGCAAGCCTCTCCTGTCTCCCCACTGCTCCCCTCAGCAGTGTATTTCAGTAGATCGCTTGTTTTGCTCCCAACTCTGTCATGGTGAATCCTCTCACCAGCCCCCCTCCCCCACACACACCTCTGGCCTACACCCCAGTTCTTGTATGCATAAATAAATAAATCTTAAATAAATAATAAAAATGAATTTGGTATAGTAAAAATGGAAACAAAATTAAGAATACCTTCTGAAGATGTATAAAAGAGAAATGGCATTACAGATAACACCAAGAAAGTAATTTGTGAATTACCCTGAGAACAGAAAGGTTATATAAGCACAAGAATGGGTATAGAATCTTCAATAATTGGAGAACAGAGCAAGAAGATTCAGTCCATAATAAATAATCAGGGTCCTTTTTTTTTTCTTAAAGGACAGAAGAATAGTTTAAAAAGTAAAAACAAAAAAGAGCTAGTCCAGAGACATAGAAAGATGATGTAATTCTGAACTGAATCAACAGAGGCTGACACCAAGGTAAATTAATATTTCTTAATTAAAAAAAGAACAAACAATATTGTAAGCCATGGAAGAGGAAGCAGGGATATGTTTAAAAAAGAAAAGAAGTAATTTAACATCAAATTTGGATGACTGGCAAGAAGGTAACCCCATTCAAAGAGGCAGGGAAAAAAAGAAGGAAGAACATCATCTTTAGGGAGAAAGATGTTGAGTTTGATTTCTGAAATATCAGGTTTAGAGACACCTGTGGAGACTTCGAAGAGAGTATCTAACATACATTGGAATATAAGCGTTTGGAGTCAGGAAAAATGTCTGGATCAAATATAAAGTTTTGGTTGTTATAAGTATCTATTTTTTGTGTGTGTTTGTAAGAACTGGGGTGTAGGCCAGAGGTGCTAGGGAGTGAGAGGATTCACCAGAGACAGAATGGGGTGTAGTACAGGTAGATTTACTGAAATACACTGCTGAGGGGAGCAGCAGGTGAGACAGGAAAGATCTGCTGCGCCATGGGGGTCACCTCCCTGGCTGGGGATCAAACTCATTCCATGGAGGCGATAGCTCTGAGCCTTAACTCTTGAGGGAAGCCCTGTTATAAGCTCGAGATGGCAGGTCATCCCAAAGGAATAAAGGAGCTGGATCAAGAGGTCATGTACAGTGAAGGAGAGAGGCCGAGGTGGGAACGCAGGAGAACACTGAGAATGAAGGGTAAGAATGGTACAAGAGGTAGGAGGAAAATCTAGTGCCCAAAAAGTCAAGGAAAAAGCTACTTCCTTTCTTTTAACTACCAGGATATTTGTGTCACATAAGCCTTTTCCATAGGACAAAAAAATAAGCGAAATACAAATATGAATAAAATTGAAAAATACTTCATTCCTTACTTCATCTCTGCTGATGAGTTCATTGGAAAAAGTGAGTCCAGGCATGAGACCTCTTTTCTTCAGCCAAAATATAGCAGCAAATGATCCAGAGAAGAAAATGCCTTCTACAGCAGCAAAGGCTACCACCCTTTCCCCTGGAAGACATAAAATAGCTTTCTGAAATATATATTGCAGATATTTTCAAGCTCACAAATATATACATATGTGTGTGCTTTTTAAATATATTTTTTAAATATTTATTTATTTATTTATGCATACAGGAATTGGGGTATGGGTCAGGGGTGTGAATGTGTGGGGAAGGGGGAGTTAGTGAGAGGATTCACCAGAGACAGAGTGGGAAGCAGAACAGGCTGACTGACCAAAACATACTATGGAGGGGTGCAGCAGATAGGACAGGAGAGATCTTTCATATTGATATCTTCTCTGATAGTATCATGAAATGCATGCTTCTGTGAGCTTTCTCTATTTTCCCATCATCAAGTCTGTATTAACATTTTTCCACACATATTGAACACTTGGTATTTCCATTCTTTTTCTCTAAAACCAGTAGTTCTCAAATGTGCTTCTCAAACCATTTGTGAGAGTATTAAGTGGGTATAAAATCCAGACTCCTCAGTCCCACCTGGGCCTCCTAAGCCACTCTCTGGTGAAGACCAAGATTCTGCAGGGTTTCTTTCCCCCCAGCCCCCACAAAATCTCCAGGTGGTTTTTATACATATAAAGATATCCACTCCTTTTCACATTCTCAAACTGGACTGGAGACAGTGCAAACATATGCTTCTTCCCTGATAACCTATAAGCACACCCAACCTCACAGTACATGATTTTCAACACGTGGCCCTGGACAGCCACCGACCTGAGAAGTCCACCAAGACAAAACTGTTTTCATAAAGACACTAAAACACTCCCTTTTCTTCTACCATACTCTCAGGAGCATATAGTGCTGTTTCTCAAAAGCTACATGATATCCTAATAATCTGAAAAGCAAAATGCTCCCATTACCTTTTCTAACTACTTATCTAAAGAAGCCTCGATTTTCTTCATTACTGTACCTAAAACAACATACTGCAAGTGAACACAGAAGCAGAGATAATACAGCTATCTTCTATTAAGTCAGACATTTGTAAAAATGTAAAGCTACCATTCTTCTCACTAATTTTCTTTAGAAAATAAAGTGTTTTTACAGAAATATTTATGTTAAAATATAATGGGCTATTGCTATTTACAACTGTGTTGATATATATTTTTAAGGTCCTTGGTTTTAATTTCTAGTATGGAAATATCAATAACTCACATAAATAGAGGCATTTTGTGGTCCTCAAATTTTTTAAGAGTGTAAGGGAATGCTGATGCAAGTATTTGAAATACTGCGTATTGATTGCAAACCATTAAGAATAATGAATGAAACCAGAAATAGCACCAATCATGAGATCTATTTCAATAGATCTGAGAGAAATACTTCCGTTGTTAAAATATTTAAATATTTTAGTTACATTTAACAACTATTTACTCAGCAACTATTACATTAAAATTACATTACTTGAAAGAACGTTATTGAATCTCAACCCATCAAGAAGGATGCTTGCATTGATCTATGTATGATAAATAAGCCTACTTATATAAACTGTTTCTTGCCCTAGCTGAGTGAAACTACATATTTGCTCCCTGAAAAAAATGTTTTAACTCCCTGAAATAAAAACATTCCTGAAAGAAGATATAAAATGGAATTGCTATACAATTCTTGCCAGTCTATGTGACTGACTCTTATTTTCTTCTAACTAGGCACTGATATCTTAAACATCCAATGTTCAACTTATTAAACAGAATAGATAACAGCTCCATATTACTTTATCATTAGTTTCCAATTATTAGGAATGAGGATTCTACTAAGGGTGCACACTGTGATTTTGACCAGTACTGGGTAGTCACACCACAAAAAAATTGAATAATGTAATCAGAGGTTGATGTGATCTATATAAATTCAAGTTACATACCAAAAGTAGATTTTCTATCTGCTACCCATCGCAAAGCCCAATCTGCTTTTTTCTTTACATATGGCATAGTTTCAATTGCATTAAATAAAAATTCCCTGTTAAAACAAAAGAATGCAGTCAAAGCTATTTACTTGTTTTTCTTAACTGGGATACATTTTCATAGATATTGTTCAGAGATGATAATTATAACTCTACAATAAACTACAAGACCTTTAGTTCGTCTGTAATTTTAACATGCCCATAAGTATCGAAATAAAAAGAAAACTCAAACTTTATAACTTGGATCTGGTCTGACATAAAATTTACTAAATTTAAATAATCAGAATGTACTCTATAAATAACAGGTTCTATATAATTTATTTTAATTCAACAGTAGAAAACCATTATACTTCTAAGATTCCGTATTTGAATAATTCTCTAACAGTTGGTTTTCTTCACATAACATAATCCAGCAATAGTAAAACCTCTGTAAATAAAATCCCAGTAATACCTTTTCTTGGGATCTCTGATGTAAGTGTCTATTAGTAAACTGTACATCTCTGAGTGAACATTCTCGATGAGAATTTGAAAGCCATAGAAACAGCGAGCCTCTGGAACCTGCACCTCCTGACTGAAGCGCTCCACCTATGAACATAAGGAAAAAATATATCCAGTTCTGTCGGGGCTCATTACACACTGCAAATCATAACACGGGCATCAGAATTGTCACTTACAAGCTGCCTGCCATGCCACAAACAGGTTGGATCATTTACCATCAAACTCCCACAACAAACGAGCTCCTAACACAATCTTTCATAACCATTAACCTACTGCCTATAATGCCAACTGTAGTTTAGAGCATCGATCAAAAGTAACTATTGTTTTGTAGAACTAACCATTAAGTCACTTTTTTCTCCCAATGGCAGATCTATTTAAGCCCTTTCAGTTCATGATCAGTCCATACTTTCTATTATTTTTAAATAGAAAGCATACAATCTGTAATACAAGTTTAAAAACGGGAAGCTGGAATCCAGCCCTCTGTTACAGAGCTCAAGAGGGTTATTTAAGTTCTCCATTAGGGTTACTAGCTAAAGGAAAAAAATCAAATTAAGGTTTAATGGTTTCATTGCTACTGTGCTTGATATTTTGCAGGTCAAGTGACAGAAAGTATCCTTTCCTCTAACAAGAGATAAGCTTCTTCTGGTTCACTTTCTAGACATCTTACAGGCTCAGTTTAATTATACTAGTCATTACCACCACTTAACTACTGAATGGGAATAAAAGTAAAACAAAAATCTTACCAAATTTTCATTCACAATTCCATCACTGGCTGCAAAAAAGGCTAAGATGTGAGAGATAAAATACTTCTCATCTGATTTAAGCTTGTTCCAATGAGGAAGATCCTTTGATAAGTCAACCTGAAATAAAAAGACTTTCACAAATTTTAACTTGGAGTTAAATTCTTCTCAAAGTGTTTGGAAAACTAACTTCCATCTCATAGTTAGGGAGGGATACTTCAATAGCAGTAAAATATGTTAACAGTAAGAACTGCAGAAAAAAGGTTAATATATAGACTATAGACTGAATGTTTCATGTCCTCAAAATTCGTATGTTGAGACCTAATCCCCAATGTGATGAAGGTTGCAGTAAAGTTTTTGGGAAGTGGTTAGGGGATTGGTGCCTTTATAACTGATCTCAGATTGCTTTAGGCCCCATTTGCCATAACATGCATGGAACTGGAAGGAATTATTCTACATGAGCTAGAAGAAGAACGATAAATGTAGAATAGATTCACTTATATTTGGAATGTAGAGAAAATAAACAAGAGGATAAGACAAAGACAGATTATAAGACTGACCCTTGAAAGCAGACTGTAGATCTGAGCCACTAAGGAGGGGAGCAGAGGAGGGAAAAAACAGGGGAAGAGGAGAGCACAACGAAATATGGTGGAGGATTTTGGGTGCTTGGTGGTGGGTTATGAAAAAATAAACAAAGATGTTTCCAAAAAAGACTCAGTCCTTGGGATTAGTAGAGAGCCCACTCTAGACTTTATGGAAGCTACAACTTAAAAACAGTCTTAAATGTTCCTTGAAGACATTTTTGTCTTGAAAATATTTAAGTAGGCTTTATAATAACTTACACAACTTGTTCAAATGAAAAATATGTGGAATTCAAAATGTGCTTGACTTCCCTTTAAGACAATGCCTACCAAATAATTAAATTTTTTAAAAATTGGCGTTTTCTACACAAAGTACAAGATACATTATATTTGCTAAAGATGCAAACAATTTCCAGATGAATTCAAGAAACCCAAGTACTACAAGTACCTTTTGGCATGATGAATGATAAAGCCACCTGTGAGCTCCATTTGTTCTCTTAACCATATCACACAAAAAAACTCTAAAAACCACAAACAGAAGCAGTCAGGTGTACCTGGTACTATGACCTAATTTGAAAATACTATGTTTTTTTCATTTGGTTTCATTACATGTTACCTATAATTTAACAAAATGTTAATTATATGACAATATAAACTAACAAGGATGGGTAAGTAGATAAAATTAGTGTAACAGAATCTTCAAAATTGACACTTTCTGATAGCTAGTGGTACTCTACCCCATTCTGTAGAGGAGCGGAGGCAGGAGCGAAACAGGGAGGGAAGCACATGGAAGAGGGTCACTGGTGCTTTGGTAGGGGGTGCTGCAAGGTAACAACACCTCAGTCTAAGGCAAAAGGGGGCCTTATATTTTCATTATACAGGCAACAATATGCATCAACATCACCTCAATAAAAATTTTAGTTAAAAAATACTTATAAGGCATTACTCAAAGTTTGAGATGTAATAAAAATAGTAACTTTTTACAGCAAAAAAAATAGCTTACTTTGTTTGGTGCTTACTAAGTGCCATGTAATGTTCTAAAGACCTCTTTAACCCTCAGAACAACCCAATGAATCAGGGACTAGAAGCCCAGCTTACCAATGAGGATACAGGAGAGGGCAAGTAACCCTCCTAGTGCCACAGTTAGTAAACAGCCAGCATTTGTACCCAGACAGTCAGAACCCAGAGCCAGCATTACTGACTGTGTGTGTCTACATGTATAGAGCCAGAATAACTATGGAATAACTGAGAGGCAGGTTGATGGATCCAAATATAGCTATCCAAAAAGATACATGCATCCATATAGATAAAAACACATGGAGCAAGAGTGATATGCAGGTATCAGCCATCATATTCAAGAGGAAGACAAAAGTAACTATCTGGGCTCAACTAGACTACCGAGCAAGCCACTTGTAAGACCAACTATCCTTTCCAAGACAGCAAGTATTTTCTAATTTGCTATGTTTGACTCCTTTCCTAGGTAGAAAATGTCATGCTAGCAGAAAGCTTTCTACAGCTGTCCTGTCTGTTGAGACAGCTGTGCCTGAGATTGTGGTTGAGGGCTAGACTAGCAGATGCACTGTGAATTCAGCCTGGCAGGCTCAGAAAGCAGGGCACTGGCTGGGCAGAAAAGTCTCTGTAGACAGCTCCTATGCGATCAGGTAAGTCTCTATTGAGAGCTGTGTCCCTAATGCTTTCACTCTCTGTTTTGGTTATAGCTGTAATTTTATATATTCTGCTGACCCTAAGATAAAGTAAACCAGTCTGTTTAAAAATACATAGAAAGGCTCTCCCTGGTGGTGCAATGGGTTAAAGCACCGCATTATGAAGCTCTCTGAAGCCCTGCAGCAGGTGATCACCTGCCAGGGAGGTGACCCACATGGTGTGGCAGACCTCTCCTGACCCGCCCGCTGCTCCCCTCAGCAGTGTACTTTGTGAAGCTGCCTGTTCTGCTCCCCGCTCTGTCTCTGGTGAATGCTCTCACCCACCACACTCTGGCCTGTACCGCAGTTCTATAAGCATAAATAAATAAATCTTTAAAAAATAAAATAAAATATATAGAAAGTAAAAATCTAGCAAAGTGAGATGTCATTTTTTTGTAGCAGGAAATGTGTTTATATATAGGAGTCTAGACACCAGACCTTGGGAAACACCAAAGTTAGTAATGTGAAACATTAGCTTATAAACTGATCTTCAGTGTGGCTTTAAATTAAAATTGTCAATACCTTGTAACAGGTTAACGCTGTACAAGAGAACATGAATGCTGATGAAGGTGGTACCACTTACCTCTTCTGCTGTCCAGAAGGATGCCTGTGCCTGTTTATACATTTTCCATATATCAGGATACTGGATTGGAAAGATGACAAATCGACGAGAACTCTTTCTTAGGAGTGGCTCTTCATCTTCATTGGTATCTGGAGATAATCTCTGAAAAATAAAGCAGAAACACCCATTTCATTGTAGACACTTTCTCTTTATTCAAATCTAACCACACATCTGTGAAGTCAGGACAACAGCTTAGGTGTCGCGGCCAGCTGGCCTAAGTTGAATGCTTAAGCAGGTTAAGAGTAACTGGTTAGCTGCGACCATAAAAGATACTTAATTTTTCTGAGCCTGGGTTTCCTCAACAGTAAAATACTTTTTTCACAGGTTGTGATGAAAATGCTGTAAACAGCCTGGTGCATTAAAAACACTCAAAACATACTGTTGTTATTGTTACTTTGAAAGTAACAAAATTGGATGCAAAAATGTCAAGGTATTGGACTAATTCTAAGTTTCCGGACAAAATGTTCCTTTAGTGCCTTGCTCAGAAAACAAGTGCTGGCATGAGATAATCTAAGCTGCTATAATAAGCTACCTTTTTTTTTTTGCTGGAAGTAATTTTCTAAGTCTGGAGGGCCAAAAGGAGAAGATGAAAAAAGGCAGAAAACACCTCCAGGTGTATTGTAAAGAACACTGTGGCCCGAAAAACAATTAAAATTTCACTTTTAGATGTCTTCATCCTTTTAAAATAGTAATAACAATGACAGAAGTGTTTTTCTACTGTATACAGGAATTCACCTGTGTCCAGGTTGTTGGTTTTCTTTTTGGATGACCTCACATGAAAGTTGTTAGAACTATTTCTGCTTAACTGAAGAATACTAGGAGTGGGAAAGACTAGCAGTTAAAAACAAATTCACTGTGACCACTTCTGTTTATTTTTCAGGAGTTAATACCAACATTTGTTGTTGTTCAAAACTAAACAAAAAGGAAAAGCTTCAGTAACAAGAATACAGTACAGGCTTTTAGTCCAAGTGATACGAACTGGTCGTTGCAAATTGACTAAACTAAGGAATCATAAGAAATTTATACATGTCTTTAAATATTTGATTTAACTTAAAACAAATTTATATTCATTTACTAATCTGGTATGTGGCAAAAGATTTTTTGTTGTTGTTGACCTGGCATACTGATTGAAATCCCCAGTCTTTCTAACATAAACACCATAAAACACTATAATTAGCTGTATAACACTCTCTAGTTTTAACATATTTAAGGTAGAGCAAATTGTGTGCAGAAGCCTTGTCTCTTCTATGATTCCTCCTAATCTTTTTCTATTTGTCTTGCTTGCACCTAATTCCACAAAATTTGTTTTTTTAACAACTGGTCTTTATTGCTATATAATACATCTCACACCTGGGAGCCACTGAGAGTTTGTAACCAGGCAATAAACAGCCAGCAGTCACCATGCCCTGATGGAGGCTGGCCTTTGACCAGGTCTCTCCTTCACCCAGTCCCAATTCCACCACTTTCATTTGCTTGCCTTTCATCTCTTGTACTCCTCAGGAGGTGAAGCAGGATATTAGGATGTTGTCATCATCATACACTATTTGAACATTACATTTTCAGTCTTCTGTCCCACCAAATACTGGCCTAGGAGCATGAACTTGATTTGAAACTTAGCTCAGTTACTGAGCTGTGTGGTTCTGGGCCTGTTATTTAACCTTTTGTGGCCTAAACTTTCTTACATTGAAAGCAGGAACTATCAATTAGATTTTGATAGTAAACTTGAGGAAAGCTATGGGCTGGATGGTCCACTTTCTCAGAAGATGCCCATCTGCAAATATAAAATCTACAAACCAGGATATCCATTTCAAATTCATTTATAAATTCTTTACAGCAGTGTTTCTTAAAATATGTAACTAAGATCACCTGAAGTATTTGTTTAAACCAGTCTCCTACAGAATTAAAGTTGCTAGAGGAGGAGGTTAGATACAGGAGAAAGGTGGGAGGGGGAAGCCTTGAGTAAGGGGCTCTGATGGGGTGTTGGTGTGATAACATACATCTCAGGGGGTGTGCAGCTATTGACCTATATTGATGCACAGTGTTGTAAACCAGTGTTACCTAATAAAAGAAAAATTTTAAATGTGGTTTCAGACCCATTCCAGATTTTGAGTCATGGTGTCTGGCCTGTGGGTCATTAATTTACATTTTTTACAAAGTACTCCCAGTGTTCTGAGGCAGGTGAATCATGCTGCCCAGTACCTAGAGAAAGTACTTAAAGCATCATTGCATTTCCAAGTAAAAAAATCTTTGTACTAGATGATTACTGAAAGTCACTGAAGAACTAAAATTCTACCTCTGAATTTGTGGGACTATCACTGAGAGAGGTAATAAAAATTAATTTCTGGGTCTTAAGTCTCAGTGACTGCTGGTGTTACTAGCACAAACAAACAAACAAACAAAAACCACATATGTCCCATGAAGTGGGGGAATTTGGCACTAAAAGTATCTGCTTCAAAACAGAAAATTTGAGGGATATTTACTATCTGTTATTTAATGTTTACATAATAGAAACAAAATAAAATTTCAAATCTGTAATCTACTTTCTAGAGAAACGTAGGGCTAACCAAGAGTCCCTGTGCTCTGAAATTATTAAATCAAAGACACTGCACACAGCAAACGGCTCCAGGTAAGAACACAAAGTAATTCTCTAGCACACAACGGTAGAGAAGTAATTGCAAAATAACAGGGCAATGACATTACAAAGCCATTAATTTGAGCAACCCTACAGTTGAATAAATCCGGTTTCGTTGCTTACTATGTACTTGCAATAATCAGAACCCAGAGAGGATGAACACGTTAACTTAGGTTGCACTCAGTACCCACAACTTCCTTAGAAATTTACATAAAACATTTTGCTTAGTCCTCTGTTGCAAAAAAGTCGCACTTCACTGTGAACAAAGTGACAGCTCAAAGCCTCGGTTAAGTAGCCCAGTTTGGACAAAACTGGCCTTGGAACATGACTGTTTTCCGTATCAAGAGGATTCCAGTCGCCCTTCTACCTACGGTCTCCATTCCAAGCACCAGGGTGGGTTTCCCAAAAGCGTCCTCCAACTCCCGTTAACCATTCCAGCGCCAGGGTGCATTTCTCCAGCAGAAGTACCTATCCTCGTTCCTCGTCTGTTTCCAGACCCGGGTTCCAGAAAAGGGCAGAACGGGAACCGTGTAACGGTCACATAAAGGAAGGGCACGCCTGGCCGCGCCAGAAACCTCGGAGCTCGGCCCCAGGCTGACCTCGGAGCCTAGCAGAGGAGCTGCAACCCGCTCGCTCCTCACCCGTCCCCGGGGGCCGCCTCCCAGGCGCTTGCAACCGAGAAACCAGGTTTCAGCACAAGGGCTCGCGGTCGGGCCTGCACCAGGTCTCTGACCGCGATGGGTAGTTTCCCGCAGCAGACCTGCACGCTAAAAGGTACCCACCGCAACCTGCAACCAAGAGGCCAGGTGTGACGCTGCGGCGGAGAGGAAGAGCAGCAACGTTTACCTCAACCAGCTCGGGCCCGGCCGCTTCCGACCTTTCCGGGTCGCCCATCGCGCAGACTCCGCCAGAGCTATGGTAGTTGAGGCCAGCGCCGCAGGCCACCTCCAACTAGGACCCGACCCAGGTGGCCCACGGGTCTACAGGGTACGCCCCGCCCCCCGGCTCAGAGACCCGCCCTGCCCAGATCCACTGCGCCCACTACGCTACTCGCCGGCCCACTGAGGGCCTCTCTCGGCGCTCCCTGGCCCCGCCCCGCCCCTAGGCCACGCGCCCTGGCCTGCCGCTCTGCTCACAACACAAAGAAATCACTGTCCGCACGTCACATATACACTTGTAGTCACATATACACTTGACCAAATCGCTCAAGAACCTCCAAATGTTCACATCTTTCGACTTGGTAACTCCAAACTAGAAAACTGGCAACGGTTAAGCGCGGAAAGGCCACCCGGACGCGCCACGCGGGGTGACGCCACGGCCATCTCTGGAGGCCAGTGCGCCAGCGCTGGGCAGGCAGGATGCGGGGACTAGGCGCTGGCCCAAGGTAACCCATGGGCGCGCTCAAGTCCTCCAGAGAAACCTGGGCCAGCGCACCTCCCATCTGAGCCGGACCACATGCCATCACGCCCACCCTGCGCTGGAAACGCCCTAGGGGGAAGTGCAAGCCCCCCACCCCCTGCCAGGCTGAGCCCCGCCCACCCCCAGCTCCGGCAGGGCCGAGCCCAGAGCCCAGCGGCCATGGCCCCAGCAGGTCCCTCCTTTTGCCACCAGACGCACACGGCGCAGGGTTACAGGCACAGGGGATCATTCAAGTGCACAAATCCAGCACCCAAACCCACAGGCTCCCGCGCCCGCCCGGCCACGCCAGCCCAGCATCTGGGCTCCTCTGCGGGGACGGGCTCTGCCCGCGGGCACCCTCGGCTGGCCCTCCTTTCCCAGCCCTCTCCTCACTTCCGCTGCTGCGGGCCCAAAGGCGTCGCCCCTAGTGCCTGCCGGGCGGGCGAGACGCACTCTGGGCCCCCTTGCTAAGTGGGGCATCTTCGCCTGAAACTTGCAGCTGCCTGGTGTCCACTTGCCTGTGCTGAGGCAGTGCCACACTGACTCTCCTGAGGCCTTGGGCAGGTGCTGGCCTCGGGGCCTCAGTCTCCCCGTCTGCCCCCGTAAGAGCAGCCTCTGCTCTGGGGCTGTGGCGAGGAGGTTACCGCAGCACTCGATGAAGGTGCCTGGGGGAGTCATGGCGGGGCTGCCCCACCCACTTTCGCCGCTTCCCCTCCCGCGTGCCTGTTCACACTGCGGGCAGCGCCCTGCAGAGGGGCCTTTCTCCCCTCAGCCTCATCCTGCTCTCCGCTTCTCCCTGGTCTCTTCTCCTGGGTGCCCGCCAGTCACCCACCCAGCTCAGGGCCCTGCAGCCTGTGAGCATGTGCCACGCTGGGGCAGCCCATGGGAGGCGGGCCAGAGAGGCCCCTACTGCCCCCCGGCCCCTGCCAGCTCGCTGGGCTCTTGGCTTCTGGGCCCCGTGCACCCCCGACCACGCACGCACTCACTACGGAGGCTGCTTCCTGCTGGGTGGCCTCTGACTCCCAGCTGGGGTGGCAGGGCGGGTGCCCGTCCTCCCCGGCTGCGCAGGGCCGGTGGAGGTAGCCTGCTGCGCCCGGAAACAAGACCACACCCAGCCCAGGAAAGCGAATGGCGCCGGCATGGCCATGGCCGGGGGAAGCCGCCCGGGAGCCCCAGGCCTGCTGCCGCCTTCCCTGTGGGAGCTGGGGCTTCTCACAAGCCGACGGGCGAGGGGATGCTCGTCTCTTCAAGAC